ATACCCAATGAACAAGACAATGATATTGACGGCGATGGCATACCCAATGATCAGGATAATGATATCGATGGCGATGGTATACCAAACGAAAAGGACAATGACATCGATGGTGATGGCATACCAAATGCTGAGGACGAGGATATCGATGGTGATGGCATACCGAATGACGAGGACGCCGATCTGGATGGTGATGGCATACCAAATAAGGATGATGATGACATCGATGGTGATGGCGTATCGAATGAAGATGATGCTGACATTGATGGTGATGGCGTGCCGAATGAGAGTGATGAAGATATTGATGGTGATGGCATTAAAAATGAACAAGACGATGATATTGATGGCGATGGTGTTGCTAATGAACTGGATAATGACATCGATGGTGATGGTGAACCCAACGAGGCGGATAAAGACATTGATGGCGATGGCGTGCTCAATCACGACGACGTCGATATCGATGGAGATGGCATACCGAATGAACGTGACCATGATGTTGACGGAGATGGTATGCCCAATGAAGAGGAACCCAAGAGTTTGGATATTGATGGTGATGGTATTCCCAATGATGATGACACCGACATTGACGGTGATCTTAAGCCAAATGAAGTAGACGACGATATGGACGGTGATGGCATACCAAACGTACACGACCGTGACGTTGATGGTGATGGAGTACCCAATATACACGACGAGGACAGTCTCGAGGCGGAAGAAGTGGCATCCAGACAAAAACGTGATGTTGGTGCGGAACCTGTCTCCGTTGAAGCTGGGGAAGAGCAAGAGGAACCCAGCCAAGAAAAGCCAGGCGATATTGATGGTGATGGTATACCAGATCATGAAGATGATGACAAAGACGGTGACGGCGTGCCCGATCATAAGGATGACGACATCGATGGCGATGGCATACCAAATGAACACGACACCGACAGAGATGGCGATGGCATACCGAATGAGCACGACGATGACGACGGTGAGGAGCTTGTGGAGAAGGAAGATGATTCTAAACCAGAAGATGACACCAAACCGGAAGACGAATTGTTGTGGGTAAGTGAAACGAAAGATTTGTTCATAAAATATTATGGCATGAGGTCAATATTTCCAATTTTTTAAATTTATCTTTTATGCATATTTTAGGAAGGCGAAATACCTGCGCAGCTCCGCAGCCGTGACCACATTACCGAGCTACTGCAATTGAACACTGAATTCAATGCACGCGAGAAGGCTGTGGACAATGTGGCTGAGATTATTTTGCGCGACATTAAGCGCATCTACGAGAGCGCCATCAAGCCATTGGAGACTCTCTACAAATACCGTGATTTAAGTAATCGCCACTTTAGTGATCCGGAAATTTTCTCGAAGCCATTGGTATTGTTTATGGGTCCATGGTCGGGTGGTAAATCGACTATCATAAATTATCTAACTGGCAATGAATATACACCACACTCATTGCGATCAGGTAATGACAACTCCATAGATATATTTAGAATAACTTTAATATAAAGCGATTTGCAGGCGCGGAACCTTCACCTGCCTACTTCAACATCCTGACATGGGGCAATGAGACTGAGGTGCTGGACGGCACACAGCTCGCCGCTGACTACACCTTCTCGGGCTTGCAAAAATTCGGTGAAGGCTTGGAAGAACGTCTACGTGGGCTGAAAATGCCAAACAAATTGTTGGAAAAGGTGAGTGTGTATTATGGTGATGCGTTTTTAGCATTCTACAGTGTGTGTGGTGACGTCAATGTCATAGAAAATATTTAAATATAAATAATATGTTTTGTGCCGACCGCGAAATGGTCTTCTGTATTGGCAACAAAAGTGTGGAGAAAATTACAACTAAACTGAAAGAAGAAGACAACAACAACAACAAATTATACAAAGCTAAAAAGTCAAACAAACTCATTGACGTTGTAATAGTGCCTGTTGAGTGGTCGTTCGTTATTTTTGTTTATGAAATTCAAATATTTTTAGAATTATTTTTCGAAAGAAAAATACGTATTACACATAAACAAATTAGTGTAATTGCATATCATGTGCAATGTGTCTATAAGTGTATAATACCGCCCACTGTTATAGGCACCGTTAATGCTCAACGCATGTAACTCATTCAAAAGTTGCTCAATTATGAGTGAGATTAAAACCAGGAGAGAAATTCGATCGTGAGTGGAGAGTGCATCATTTCTTTTCACTCAAAAATTCTGAGTTTCTACTCAATATTCGAGTATTAGCTCATTATTAACTCTATGAAATCATATTGGTCTACTCATTTGAGTGCATTGCACATTTACACATTTATTGCATTTTAAGAGCTCTCAGCATATTTTGTGATCTATTTTGAGAAAGTAAACAAATGCAACAAAGTTACGCAGCGCTTATCTTCCGTTGTCTCTTGCGCAGGTACACTTTCAAATGAATATTCGACGTTTGTATTACAAGCATTGAAATGATCAGATGCTTTCGAACTCACTTAGCACTGGGTAAATTGTGGTTTCAATGTTAGTCATGGAAAATAAAACGGTTTTAATGGAGAATAAATTAAGTTACGGAGCTAGGACGAAAAGCGTCAAAACGAAACCTAGATGCTCTTGTGATATCCATCGGAAGTGATGAGAAGTCCGCTCCTCGACCCACAGTGACTAAAAGCTCGGATTTTTCGAATTAAGGGTCTTGAAACCATTATTAGAAGGCATTACAGTCCAGCGTTGAATACTTAGAATATTATATCCATTAAAACGGGATAAGCATTCTGCTGTCGCTAAATACCAATTTGCCATGCAAGAGCAAGAAAAGCCAGAAGTATTTTTGAAGAAGGCTATTGCCACTCAAACTCGAACCTTGTGATTTTCTTCAAAACAGCTTTGAAAAAAGTGAGACAGGAAACAGAGCGTGTAATAAACTTTAACATCTCTGAGCTCAACAGTTTTCTACTTACCAACTTCGATTCTTTTCGTTGACTTCGTTCTTGTTGAAACAAGCTAAATATTATAGTTACTTTCTGGCATAAGAATAATATTCCTTCAAATTTTTTCCTCGTTTATCATTGGATCTGACTTCTAGTTTAATACAGACCTTCTCATATATCCAAAAAATACGGACCTCTTATATTTATACCACAAATTGAGATATTTCAGGTGTTAGAACTTTCTAAAATCTTGTGGTCTCAGCTTACTTTATTAAAATTATTTAAGGTACCTATCACTCAAGTTAAAAAAAATCGGGGTTAATTTTTTAATTAAAAAAAAACCTTTTGTTTCAGGTCAACATCGTTGAGATACCCGGCATTTTGGAAGTACGTAAACAGGTCTCTCGTCTTTTCCCCTTCAATGATGCTTGTCAGTGGTTTATCGATCGTGCCGATATCATATTCCTCGTCTACGATCCGGCCAAACTTGATGTTGGCCCCGAGACCGAGGCTATATTGGATCAACTTAAGGGACGTGAATATCAAACGCGTATTATATTGAACAAAGCTGACACCGTCAAACCGGAAGAGCTTTTACGCGTACAGAGCGCACTCATTTGGAATATCTCTCCGCTGATGTCCTCGGCACAACCGCCTTTGGTGTATACATCATCGCTGTGGTCGCATCCCTATCAGGAGGGCGCACCGGCACGTCTGCTGTTGGCGCAGGAGCGCGCCTTCCTGCGCGATTTGCGCACCGCTGTCGACAAGAGGATCGAACATAAAATCGCCAGTGCGCGTCGTTTCGCTGTAAGTATTTAAACTAGACCCGAATTCTTAAAATTTTTACTAAAACACAACTTTTATGCTTGCGTTGTAGGTGCGCGTCCGCAATCATGCCAAAATGGTGGATTGCTACCTCAATACCTACTACAACCACAAGACCCTCTTCGGCAATAAGAAACGCATCGCCGACGAAATTATCAATCATCCACAAAACTACCACATCTATGAGGGCCTCTCAACACTGACGAATATATCACGTTACGATTTGCCAGACCCTGAAGTTTATCGCGACTTCTTCCGCCTCAATCCGCTTTATGAGTTCAAGAAACTTTCTGAGACCTGCACGTACTTCCGCGGTTGCCCCATTACTAAGCTGGATGTAGCAATCGCTTACGATCTGCCTGAATTGGCTGGTAAATATAAGAAGATGGCGGAATCAGCGCTCGTCAACATTGAGGGCAAAGGAGCTGCAGATGGCGCACCCGAAGACAAAGGCCCTGGCAAGAGCACGAAAAGTTGAGCTACTCAAACTATAAACTGCACTGAACGTTGTCCAAAAATAATGCACATAAACTAAATCAAAAAAGATCTACAAGCACTGGACAAATGCGGAATAAGACAGCTATACACAGACAAATGTGCATATGTAAAAGAAGTAAGGAGAATTTCGGACGAAAGGAAACCACGTTCAAACCAAATAAAAGAGATCAATTTTTATTGAGAAAACAAAAACCAAAAAAAAAAAACAATAATTGCCGAAGTTGAACAAAATTGCCGACTAAGAGAGAGAGACATTAGCTATAATTTATAAAACAAAAAAAAAAAATTAGAGAGAGTGAGCGATCTAACAGCGAAACAATCAAATTTGCTGAAACTTTACTTAACGAGACAAAATAAAATCATAAAAGTAAAAAAAGTGAAAAAAAACTGTCAATCGAAATTCCTTAAATACAACAACAGCTTAAAAACATACTTAAGGAAGAGAGAGAGAGAGAGAGAGAGAGAGAGACACACACACACACACACACACACACACACACAGAATTACTTACTAACTAATGTAACGAGTGGGAGGGACTGAGACAAAAGGGATAATAGCAAAATTTTATAAAACCCATATGCGCTCGAGCATTGGCCATAAATAAGCATTATAGAGGGAGAGATGACTAAAATAACAGTAACAAAAATATAAATCGCTAACACTACATTTAAAAATTTCTAACCAGCAAACTTTGCCCGAATTCGAACCCGTGAAAATTTGAAATTCCGCCTTAACGAAGCTTTAATCTTTTACTTACAAAATCAACTAAAACCTTTGCACAACCATTGAAGGCATTTATTTTCTGAAATTAATTGTTTAATTGTTCTGTAATAATTGTGCACAATCATAATTTCGTATATGCTCCATACAGTGTGTCCTAACCTATGCACCACAGTAATATGTTTTCCGTTTTCTTTTGCTTCCATTGAGAGAGCTTTAATATATTATATAAGTTTGCGTGTTAAAAAATAATGAATATAATAAAAATACATATAATTTTAACTACTATCACTGCACTGCACCAAAGGCATTGTGAATTTAGACCCTGTCATAGTTAATAAGTTTTCTTTTTTATTTGAGTGAGTAAAATGTAAAAAATTTAATGAAAAATGCAATAAAAAGAGCAAAACAGTGAAGACGTTGCATGATTTTTTATAAGAAACAGAATAAATGAAACTTAAATCAAGTTGTAAGCATTACATCGACAAATTAATGTAAAAATGATTTAGCCAATTTATGACAGCTGAAATATCAGTGAGCTTACATTTAAATGTAATGTTGGACATAATGATAGACTCTGAATTGTAACAACAAATAAAAAATCACTTAGAAAAAAACCAAATCGCGTGTTTTAATAAATTTATCGATGCAGCAATCTACAACAGATTTCTATTTTCGATGTCAGTCGCTTTTTCGGTTTTAAAACTGCATAGTTTTATTTAACAGCTTAAGTTTCAAGCCACACACACTTCATATTTCATTTTTATTATTAATGTGAGGCATTCAAAATTCATGGTGACTCTTTTTTTAATTCGGCAGAAAATTAGAATTTGTTGTTTCTATGTTATAATACACCGTAACTTAAATATATGAACATAAACAGCTGTTTTGATAAAAAACAAGCATATTTTTTTAGAACTTCACAAATATCAACAAAAGACATATGTAATTAAACTACACTATGATGAATCTGTATTTTGTTTTTCCACTGGCGCAGATTCTTGCTCAACTTGCGCTGTCTTGTGCTGAGCTTTAGCAACGTTGCTCTCATTTGCTAACTTCTGCTCAGCATTCAATTTTATCGCAGTCCACTTTTCGTTATATTGTGCTTGTGTTAATAGACTGCGTTTAATATTTTCACAATCTTCAGGTTTTGGTAGTACAATAGCCACATAGCCTTCACCTTCGGCGGCCATTTCCAATCTCTTTGGTGCTTCAACCCACGCTGTATTCACTTCCACCAATTTACTTTGTACACAACTAGGTATTTTGTAAGCTTTATTTTGCTCGCTGGTCAATATGGCTAGCGTGGAGTCATGTTGTAGAACCATACCGCCTTTCTTGCCTTTTCCTTTCACTGTATTTTTACTGCGATCTGTATTGCCAATATCAAAGGTAAATGATTTTATGCCGTCTTTTATTGCTGGATGCTCGGGAGCCAAACAAATTAAACAAATACGATTGGAGTGAAAAAGTACTTGATAGGGTGCCGGTTCTGGACTTTCCTTAATGTAATAGTACCGTGTGAAGAATCGATCCACAACACTGGGATAATTCTCCACCCATTCCTCTGTAATGGACGGTACGTCTATACCACCAATGACTTCTGGCACATGGTTATAGTAGTATGGTTCAAGTGGATCGTTTGGTTCGGTAGGCATTGCTGGTTGATTGGTTAAAATTAAGATGAGAGTGTTTATGAGGATACTAGACGCTCCTTTAAGCGAGCTTGTCGCTCCGCCGCTTTCACACGGTTTGCTGCAGCACGTGCTTGACGTTCACGTTTTAAGCACCTCACCAACTGGTTATCAATATCGTTGCAGACGCCAAGAAATTTAGCAAATTGATTCTGAAAATTAAATACACAATTATGTAAGCTGTAACAACTTGTGGATACCGCGTTTGGGAATATTTTTTTACCTCAATATGGCAATTATTTAGTTGTTCAATCAAGGTATTGCACTCCGATGTATGCAGATGTGGAGATAGATCAGTATGCATACTTTTTGCTGGGATTCAAAAACAACACAAATTGCACTTTTTCTTTGCTAACCGAAGAAATAAAATGTCAATTATTTTTTTCTATTAGAGCTGCCAATAGCTATTAGCAGAAAAGTCAATGCTATCAAGTTTGTATAATCCGATGTAAAAATTCAAGTATTTAACCTATTAATTAGAAATAATCTGTCAAAAAAATATCTTTTATATTATACAGTTGAACAAAAGCATAATTCTTTTGCAAAATCTAAAATAAATATTTTGTTTTTAAAATTACACAGAACTATGGTGATTTGTGCAACTCTGTGTGTAATGCTGTGTTCATTGCTACAGCAAGAAAGCAACACGTGCAGACTAATCAGCTGTTCTGGTAAAGAAGCAGATTTGATACAAAACAAGTTTTTCTTATTCATAATTGTGGTATTGCCAAAATATTATTAATTTTTAAGCTTGAATTCATTTCATAATGTCGGCAAACAAAAAGAAGAATTTGAATTCTATGGAGGAAGACCAAACAGCAGACGACTCGGATAGCTCAAGTGAGGATGATGATGACGATGAGCCACATCCTGATGCCTATACCGGCAATGAGGTTTGTAGAAGAACAGAATACTAAACAAAGCACTTTACAAAAAATAAACATAATTATGTTTTAGGAAGTGGAAATTGATTTCGAAGGTCGTGCTCCCACAGATCCAGATTGTCATGGAATTTCACAACTACTGCAGCGCGTGTTTTTAAGAGCGCCAGTAAACACCATGCAAATGGCTGATATGATAATCGGTAAATGTTCTGTAAATATAATATTTACTTTGCTTAAAATATTATTATTATTTAAGGGCAAAATTATGTTGGCAGTGTTATTTACCAATGTGAGCAAGATGGTGCTGAGAGTGATATGGACGATGATATGATCGAAGAAGGCACAATATTTGGTATTACAACAGTCATAAATTTGACGGCAAAAAAGGACATTGCTTGTATAGAACAATTGCGCGGATATCTAATACAGCGCGCTGAAAAGCATGCACCAGATTCAGTATTTACTCACCTACGAGATGTGTTGGGAAATGAGGGACGTCCAGTGGGGTTTCTTATCAATGAACGTTTCATAAATATTCCAGCACAAATCTCAGTACCGTTGCTGGAGAATTTACATAAAGAAGTGCTAGTGGCTAAACAGAAGGGCATGCAATTTAACTTTAGTTATTTTATAATGATAGTTAAATTTTATCGCAAAGAGGCACGGAAGGGAAAGCCTACCGAAGATACATATACGAATGCCGAAGAGGAAGTGATTTGTGCGAAGGCAGTAAATTCCTTCGAGTTTTCTGTTGCAGACGAGTGCGATGTTGGTATGAGTGGAGATTGGCTAGAAGGCGATGCGACATTAACTCCCTATCGCAAAATTATATTATTTGACGCAAAGGAGCTACCACATTTAATTGACGATATAAGAAATTATATAAATGGAGTGTAAAAATTATATAAAAAATAAATGTATATAATATATGTACATGTTTGGCTGTTTTTTGTTAAATTTAACGAAGTAAAAATCCCTAATGTTTATCAGACGGGGTAAATTGTTATAAAGATAACACACTGTTTGCAGCACTGTCCACAACAGCTGATGGCGCGATTAAAACGTGTGAAGAGTGTATTAAGTTGGTTCACCGGCAAATTTTTATGTAAAAGAGACTTGCACAAGTAAAATTAATTTTTGATTAGCTTAAAGTTTTCTGAGAAATGCAGCTTACTCATTGGCGATAAGCTTTACAGTGAGCAGTGGATAGCACAAAGTATATAGTTTGTAAGGTATTGTTAGCCGGAGAATCATGCATTTGGCATGTGTATTGCCACAATTTGGACTTAGCAAGCTTAAGCGATAAGTGCAATAGTAACACGTTCCTCTCTGTTTATTCGTAATTGCAGACCAACAGATACTCTGACCGGTTTTTATAAAGTGAGACTCATTTGAGCTGATTTTCATAGTAAAAGTTTTTCTTCATGGAACGTAGTCACGGTTACACAAAGTGTGCCAAATACTTGTAATATCTTCCTTGATTTGTAACTAATAAGAGGATCGAACAGCCTCATTTTCATTGAATAACTAATTGGTTGTACTTATTGTGTCTAATCCGATTTTCTACCTTAATTTCTAGTCAATAAGACTCTATATAATCGGTAGGAAACTAAAAACAAAACAAACAAACTTCAGGCGTGATAGTGTGTCCAGCTTCCATCATGGGTATTGAGAGGTAAGTGCAATAACCAAAATTGTATCAACAGCAGAGGTTACTATGCTTAAAGCATACAGTAGTTATATATAGTTAATTCTTTAAATGATTTAGAACTAAACGTAAACAATTTTCATATAAGAAAAAGTTAACCTTATCAATAGCGAATTTGACTGTATATACATACTCAGAAGATAAATCGGCATCATAAAACAAAAATAACAAAGTACACGAATGTTGGTATAAAATTTGTGTTGGAAGATTAGAAAGTTGTATTGTAATAATCAGTTAGGCAGCAATCGTCGTCGTTGTCGGTTGTTTAAATTGTTTAATAATATTTGTGTATTTGAAATATATTGGTTAACATGGTTGCCGATACGTAAGTAAGCTCTTGGATGTTTTATTGCAATAGTATATTATACTGACACATTTGAAGCAAAAAAAAATTAATAACGTGTGGCGTGTATTCCGAAAAATGCAAAAGTGTTAAAATGAATATATTCTTATATTGGGGAAAGAAACTAATTTGCGTCGACATACCAATTTATACTTTTCCTTTGTTTCAATCGACAATATAAATGTAGAATTAAAATTAATAGATAATATAAACAGAAACTTTTCATATCGCTGCTTTCAGAGTTCACTGCATGATTGGACATTATAATAAGCAACATTTTTGTGTGAATTTTTATATGTTCAAGCATATGAGTGTATGCTGTACAAGTTTTTGAGATATTCATATGTATACACGTATTTATATATCTACAATGTATACTTGCATATATTTGATCACAAAGTTTTCTATTAATATGCGAAAGACTCCAGCTATCTACGTGTACTAAATATTTTATAGATATTATCAGCTGCAAGTGTTTGCACACTGTAGAAACAAATACAAATTTAAGTCAAAACTACAAAAGTAAACAAAAATAGACGCTAAAGAAAAGTTTGATTCTATATTATGAATACTAAGTTCTTATCCCAATAGCCTATAGTCATATATACACCTATGTATCGTACATATGTATATAAGTACATCTACCCAATAATTCAAAACAATGTAATTCAAAGTAACCCCAAAAATATTGGAATAAAATGCTTGACGCGCATAAAAAAAAATAAAATAAAAAGTTAACAAGAATTCAAAACAAAAATTTTGTTCGAATGGCACATAAACGATCAGCTTATCGTAGACGGAGCAATTCGCCGTTAAGGAAGAAGGATCATCTCGAGCTTGTTGAAGTTTGTATATCCAACACTTTGTAAGTGTCAAATAGTGGTGTAAAGGATGGTATACTAAGAGCTTGAAAAGTTTTAAACATATTAATTAGTTTAACAAAGTAATTCAGAGAAAAATGTGCTTAAAATTAAAGAAAAAATTAAACAGTAGTCTTTCTCATAAAAAGTTTTTCTCATAAAAATCTATTACACGGTCTGTTCTAGGTTAAACCTTTATGGCCTACTGTGTAGGATAATGTGAAAAGCAAAACACATAAATCATTGATTATACATGTGTACATCAGACTATAAGTTAGATAATATAAAATTATGAAATGGGCTTAAGAAATCTAGTCTGATAAGTTGTTTTATTTTTATACCCTGAACAGGCTATATTAAGTTCGCCACGTACTTTGTAATAGAGAAGGAAGCGTCGTAGACCCTATAATATATACATATAGGTATATAAATGATCAGCGTAACGACATGACATTTAGACATGTCCGTCTTACTGAGATATCGATCTGAATTTTGCACAAGTTATTTTCTGCTCAAGAAGCTGCTCATTTGTCGGAAGCGCCGATATCGAACCACTATAGCATATACATATGTGTATGAATGTAGCTCCCATACAAACTGAACGATCAAAATCAAGTTTCTGTATAGAACACTTTTTTATTGAACGAGATATTTTCACAAAATTTGGCATGGATTATTGTCTAAGGTAGCGGTAAAATCTCCGTCAAAATTGTTCTTAACGTAACCCCTATAACATACTGCTGTCATACAAACTAACCGATACAACTTCTTGTATGGAAACTGTTTTATTTGTGAAAGGTATTATAGCTTCGATGCAACCGAAGTTAACGCTTTTTTTTGGAACATTGCTGCAAGATTTGGGTTGTTACTATGTGTATTATTTTGTATACTTTATTATTGTTGATTAGATTAATGCCGGAGTTGTAAATTAGTTAGCTTTATTGAAGCATTTTTTAAGAGTTGATGTGGAAAAACAGAAACATATTTTAAATGTGTTGGACTTAAATTTTTTTTAAATACAGTGCAAGTGTGTGTGCATTAAACGATTATTACGATAAATTATTTTTAGAATGCTAAAACGTACGGGGTTATACTTTTGAAACTTTCTTTTAAATGCTTTTCCGACGAACTTTAGTTATATAAATAACACAAGTTAATTTACATAAATTCATTTAGTTAATAACAAAAGTTCATTTGCATAAATGTATTTAGTTAGTTTATTTGTTCCCGAATTGAGGCTGCGTTTAAAAACAGATTTGGTCTCATAAAACAAAACAAAATAAAAATTTTAAATGCACTTGTGAAATCGTTTGATTATACGCCCATTTCCCAGCTGATAAGAAGAAACAGTTGCAAATCAATTGTTGTAAATTATGAATGTTAGTTGGCAGTCACCTATTTATAGCGGCACTTAAAAAATACCGCAGGACAAAAAAAAATAATTGTTTATAACAAATATACAGCAAGGCAGATGAGGAAATGAACGAATGCAACAAAGCGTTTAATGTCAATTGCTATAAAACGCAAATGGCACATGAACACAATGATGTGCTGATTGGTTCCATATAACACATTCACATATATACGTATGTACATATAATATGTATATGGATATATTATATATGAATACATATTTGCACTTAGTAGCGTGCAGTTGTAGTTGTTTTGCTTCTGAATTGTATTTACCTTGAACTTTAAAAGTGCATGTCATACAAATTTATATTAATATATTTTATTCATCTTTTTTCTTTCCTGCTCTTAGACTCTTGCCGTGCAGTGTGAAAATCGCTAAACTCATACAGAAGTCCAGTTGCGATGTACTCTGTATTATCGACCGTCAAGTGCCGCCAGAGTTGGTGGAGCAATTCGGTGAATTCCGCTCATTTGATAAGGCTTTTGATAGTGTGGTTTCATGCTTTAAGTCGCCCAAGTTGGACTTGCCCATAGTTTATTCACCCGTACAGGAATTGACTGATTATCATGATGTTCGCACGTATCAGAAAGCGGCAGCCAAGTCATTGGAGCGCGCCATTAAGGTGAGATAAAGTTGTAAAGCAAATATGTATAACGGATCAACATAAATATGTTTACAATATGCTCAAGTTCATTACAAAAATGAATTTATCGCAACGCTTATCACTTTCGTTTATTTGCTTAGGCTGGCTTCAAATCGCCGCTGCTGCTGGTGCCGGCGAGCAAGCGCTTCTCCAATGCCGAGCTTTGCACCGTGCTGGGTGCTTTGGATCAATTATATGTTGTAAGTAGCGATAATATTTTAAGTAGAAAATTTGACAAATAAATCAAATTAATAACTTTAGCCGATTCAATTGCGTGAGGATGTGCCCGAGCAGGCAAAGCGTATTAAGGAGCTGTCGCTTTTGATTGCTACGCCAAGAGCTGAAGAAATTATAAAAGATGCTTTGGTATTGGAATCGGGTCGAATGGTGGCACGCGATATTGGTGAGCACGATTTTAAAGAAATACAGTTTTTAATCGAATTATTGTGAGAGTATAACAAATGCTCTTATTTACAAAAAAATACTGAAATGGAATTGAATGCAGTTTCATTTATCCGTCTTAAGTATTTTGTAGCTGGCAGTGCTGCGTTCAATGATTTGTTTATACACACGCCTAAAATTATGCAACGATACTGCTAACAGTCTGTTGTCATTTTCAATTGCAGGTGTTGGCGATCCAGAACGCATGGCGCCACCTCGCGTCGAAGACTACGTTAATAGCGTACTGTCCTCGCTGAAGAAGGAAGTCATTAGCGATTTGAATGTGTTGCAAGAGGATTATCCACTTTTCGCCGCCGTCAATCGCGCTGCCAATCAAGTGAGTCGCCATCGTGGCCGCATCATCTTTCTGGAGTATGTGCCACCGCAACCGGCACGCAAAACGCTGATGTTGGTGGGTAAGGGTGTCACCTACGATACCGGTGGTGCTGACATTAAGGCTGGCGGTGTAATGGCCGGCATGTCGCGTGATAAGTGTGGCGCCGCCGCTGTTGCTGGCTTCATGCAGGTAAGCACAACACAAATTCATACTTATTTACCACAAATTTTAACTAAATTGTTTCACACACAGATTGTCAATGAGCAAAAGCCTGCCGATGTGCATGTTATTGCTGCACTTTGCATGGTACGCAATTCGGTTGGTGAAGAATCCTATGTCTCCGATGAGTTGTACACCTCACGCGCCGGTGTACGCATACGCATTGGCAACACCGATGCCGAGGGACGCATGTGCATGGCGGATGCTCTGTGCCGCATGAAAGAGATCGCCATCGAGCGCAAACTGCCCGATCCACATCTCTTCACTATTGCTACATTGACGGGTCATGCTTGTATTTCCGCTGGTGATGGCTACTCCATTGCCATCGATAATAGTGTGGCACATAAGACAGGTCATGCACGTCTGTTGCAGGAGACTGGTCAGTCGTTTGGCGAACCTTTCGAGGTGTCCGTTTTGCGTCCAGATGATTTCGATTTTAACAAGGGTAAAGTGATTGGTGAAGACATTGTGCAAGCCAACAATGCACCATCGACACGCACGCCACGTGGTCACCAGGTAAATCACTTTGAATTTGATTTTTTTTAATTTTTATGCATTCTAAATGTCTAATTATCTTAATTTCTATAATTTAGATTCCAGCCGCTTTTCTCATTCAGGCCACTGGCTTGGACAAGCATGGCCTAGAGTCCAGCTTGCCATTGAAGTATACGCACATTGATATTGCTGCCAGCGCTTGCGTATTTCCAGAGATACCAACAGCTGCGCCTATTGTGGCCTTGGCAAAGACACATTTATAGAATTTTTTATAAGAGCATAAGATATCAATTATATTGTACTTATTCCCGCATATATGTATGTAATTTGTTACGCTAAACACTACGAAATATAATCACATATACAATGAAAGCCATTGCTAAATGTCAGCTTTTGAGTGGGTCACAAATATGGGTGATAAAAAAGCGTTGCTATTATATAAGATATATATAGACAATACAATTTCGCTCAGGTTTATGAAACCAGAAAGAACCGGGATCATTTGTTAAGTTAGAAAAGTTGTTACTTGATATGTTGGGTATAAAATTCATCGTGGATTAGGAGAAGACAGTCGCATCTACGCTCCCTCGATAGCTGAGTCTACAGAATCGAATTAGACTAGGATCTATATCCGACGAAGAACTGTCAACTTAGCAGCATTCTTAAATATTATTTTGTGAATGTTTTCTGCTGCTATAACAACAACAAATAAACTTACGAAACTGGATATTGAAACTGGATTATCTCGATTATTGAGATTCACGTGCAAAAATCATATTTGAATCAATTTACTTTAAAAAAAAATTAACATAAAATTTAAAACTAACTTCGGTTACACTAAAAACTATTATAATACCCTCAAAAATAAAAAAAAGTGTTTTAGAACTCATGGCTGCTCATTTATTATCTATTTTATAGGGTCTCCTCGGTTTCCTTAAAAGTGTTACAAACTTCATGGCAAACTTGATGCCTATAACCTGTTCTGGATATTAAAAATGAGCTCAAGCTTGAAAAAATTAACAAAATTTTTTATTGTAAAATATGTCTAAATTTGGGGTTTCTCGGGTATTACGGAACTAAAACATTTGTATGGCTATGCAAAAATAGTGCCAAAAGAACCCGAAGTCATCTGAAAATAATCCCAAAATAGTTCTTAAATGGTTAAAAATTCATAAAAATGCAGAAATAGTTCCGAAAGTGTAAAAAAATCGGAAAGTACTTCGAAATAGTGCAAAAACAGCCTCGACAACTTTTTACTCGTTAAATTTTATTGTAATAACAAATATTTATTGGTTATTATGTTTACCATTTGTTTTGTTAAAATTATTATTATTATTATAATTATAATTCTTCTTTATTTTTTTATTTACATTTTCTATAATTTTTCATTTCATTTAGTTCGTATACATTGAGAATATTTTGTTATTTTTCGCAAACTCATTTTATTAAATTTCACAAAAGATTCTTTCATTTCTCGCTGCAGCAATTCTTACTGCGTTGGCGCAGCGCAATAACGGTGCTAGCGGGTACAAGCGGCAATCGTGCTTGCGCATGCACCGTTAATCTGGCTTATGAAAACTCGGTCAAGAGTGCCGCGTTCATGTTGTGATTGCATAATTTACCGTTGACCACCATTCACAGTCATCGTTCATGTTGTTGTTGCCCGTTCTCGTCAATGCCCCACAAGGTGGCTAACTTAAAACTACCGTTGTTCTACGCCTTGCACTTCCCTTCACTTGACCTCTCTTGAGTCCATGCCATGACTTGCATTGTTATCTTTGGTAAACGGCTTGTGAGCCTTTCTTTCTTTCTTTCTTTCATTTCGTTTGCCTTTAGTTCGTTTTCTGCTTTCTTTTGTCGCAACAGCGGTCCAGCTTGCAGGCTTCGTAGCTTGTCGTACGCAGGTTACTGGCTGCCCAATGGCTTTAAATGAGTGCAACTTGGCTGCCTTGGACTTGTTTTGATTGTTGTTGTGTTGTTGTTGGTTTTTATGTGCTTTCATTTTGTTTTGCTTTCTTGTTTTGCCAACTGACGACCGTCTTTATTGAGGCTCCTTACGGTACCTTGCTTATTTGCTTCATTGCATTTACATACGTACATATGTACATATGTATTGTATATATACCTGGTATATAACAAGAATCGTGCGACGCATCAGTGGGCCAGTCTTTCGCATTTCTTTTTTTGGAAACAACAACCACGTGTAGCCGAAGCGGTGATTCATTTATCGATACGACTGTTCAACGTTCCATTTATTAACAGTAAGCGTGTAACATGTAACGGTACATTACTGGCAAACACCGTTACCCTGATTATGGGAATTAATTTTGACCAGTTTTTGGACGTACTCTTCTTTTTTATACATTTTAGTTTTGTGTCTTTTGTGGCGATAACGCACTCGAAGAAATTGAAAAAAAAGTAACTACGGATTATTACCGTTCAGTTTATACGGCAGCTACTTATACTTCAGTAGTGGTCCAATATCGGCGGTACCGACCATGCAACTTTTTGTGGAAAGGATGTCAACAAAATGGTCGTCATATCTCACAAACTGAGCGACTAGTTCGCATGTATACAGAATAACAGAAAAACAAATACACATGGCGAAATCGACTCAGCTCGTCACGCTTAAAGGGTCTCTGATGTTCGGCGTATAAAAATTGAAGCTTCACTTAACGAGTGTGCCATGAGCCGTGAGATCCATTTAAGAACAAAACTTTCAATATGATTGACGCCTCTATACACTTACTTACCTTAATCTAGTAAGTTTTTATGAGTCCTGAACGAGTTATCGAAACTCTAGTTTTAATCATACTTGCATTTTGAAATTCTCGGAGTCGATTAACACATCCGATATCAAATTATTCATATTTTTTATTTCGTTCCTCGAAAAATTCTATTCAAAATAAGACAATTCGGAATGAAATCGATAATCCATCCATTAAATCCATAATCTTAGATTGATATCTCAGCCAACCTAAAAAACATAACTGGTACTAGCAATTTTTTCAGGGAGAATAACAAAACACTTAGAGAAGTTTGGTGCTATTGAAGTTTTTGGAAGAATAACCATCCAAATCGTAGTTTCATTGATCTAATATTTGGGGCAGTTCGAGCTACATGATTAGATCATTTTTTAAATGGCATTTAGAAACCGCAGAAATATGATTTTGATTATTGTGCAGTTACAAAAGTTATCGAAAAATACTATACGTGTACACAGCAAAAGTTACGACTACCGAAACTCCAATACATTGGAAAAGTTAGCATGGAAACAAGTGAAACGTGGGAACTCATAAGCCCAGTGGGTAAAGAAGGGATGAGCGATCACACTTACCTAAGAGTTTCAAGTTGCTCAAGTCCTCAAGTCAAGTTGTTCAAGAAAAGTGATCTGGCTACCAATGACTTCTTCCTCAGCCCTCAGGAAAATAGTGTTTGGAAAGAACGTTTGAAACAAAGAAGAAATAATCACACAGACTGTGATCTAACTTAAAGCAAAAAAAAAATGACATTTAAAAATTTGAAGAACGCAATATTCCACGAACAGCGTTGATAGAAAATAATGAAATTAATTGATTTAATTATTTAATAATGAAATTGATATTTTTTAGAGAAAGGTGTCTTCTTCAAAAAAAAACAAAAACTTTAGTAACTTTAACTAGTAGATTCCTCACTTTTGGGTTGGTGTTTTTAATATTTGAAAGTAAGTTGTAATTACAAAGAAAAAAAAACACGATAATACTTTGTTAGCTAAATATAGAACTTAATTTAAAACTAGCTTTCATTATTTTGTTGGATTTATTTTGATTTTTATGACTGCCCGAATATAATTATACACCAAGAATCCACTATATTTTCGATTGTTTAAAGAGTTATTTCAATTCATCGCACGTTTTCCAAAATTTAATCAAGCTTTTCTAAAGTTGTGGGTGTTTTCTTAGTTACTTTGACCTGAGAGTAAGGCAAAGGTTCTCGATTGGATTCGGATCAGAGCTATTAACTGGCCAGTCCAATTGCGGTATTCAGCCCTTTTCCAAATAATTATTTATCGCAAAACAAAAAAAATTCTGGAAAACTAGAAGTGAACGAGATTATGATAAACCAAATCACACTCCGTATTCACGTGGTCTATTACCATGTGTCAATTTTCTTAAACTTTCAAAGCTAATATATGTTAATGTGCATTTTGTTCAATATCCAAAAAGTTCGGTTATTTTTCAGACACACCTTGTACATCAGTATATAGAAAATTAGTTATTTCTTGAAAAATTTTACAAGCTAGTGAAAGTGGAAATTAAAATTAATACAAAAACAAGTGGTTTTGGTGTTCCGAAAAACGAGAAATTTGTTCATTTTGGTTTTCGTTTTTGTTACTTCACTGCATACAAATGAATGAAAGCTTGAGTTTATGTGGAAAACGTCAAGCAGTGGATCGACATTTATTAGATTAATGATATGAGGTTTAAACCAAGGTCTAGACCAATTCGATTCTGATTTAGTGCTAAGCCACATAATTTTTAAGAAAATTTGTCCAACTAATTTCATTAAAATTATACATTTTGACCTTTATTTTTATATTGGAATATGAAAAAGTCAGATGGAATTTAAAATTGTGTTATATGGGAAGTGGGCGTGGTTATAGTTCGTTTTGCTCCATTTTCGCACTCTAACGTAGAAATATTAGGCAAATGTTATATACGAAATTTGGTTAAAAACGGTTGAGCAGGTTCCAAGATATGTGAATTCACCTAAAAGCGGACGGTGTCACGTCCATCGTCCAATTTTGATACCGGTCACTATAAAGCTTTCCTGGTTATAAAATTTAATGTCTCTCGGGCATTTTGTTATAGACTTATCATACTTTTAATAGTTTTTAACAAAACCGTTATATGGGCAGTGGGCCGGGTTATCATCCGATTGCACCTATTTTCACACTATCGTAAGAAAGTTTGAAAAAATGTGTGCTGTACAGTACTGTAGCTAAGTAGATATCGGTGAAGATGCGATACACGTAGCCTGCGAAAATTCAAAATTCGCGATAGCCTTTGAACAAACCTCGTAATTGGCCAAAAACAACATATTAATGGTGCCGCAGCCAACGTATTCCTCAGACCTGGGCCCGTATTACTTTTTCTTTGTTCCCAAAACTGAAGAGGCCCATGAAAGGACGACGCTACGCTACGATTGAGGTGATAAAAATTGCATCGAAGGAGGAGCTGAACAAGTTCACAAAAAATAACTTTTTTAAGCGCTTACTCATTTAAGAAATACAAAATTCGCGATACATTTTGAACAAACCTCGTACATGTTTGCACGCACCAAATTCACACAACTGATTTTAAGTAAAAAACAACCGAATCTTTTTCTGTGAATTAACTTTTCAGAGCACTCATTTCCACTCGGAATGAATTTTGAAAAAAAATGTGAAAATTAAATAGTGAAAGTGAAATATAGAACACTAAATGTCGGACTGAAAGTTGGTGCGTCCAAATATACTATATATATTATATATAAATATGTATATGTAGATAATTGTGTATCTACTTGCCGTCTCCTTAGAGTAAATCGTCCATCTGAAAAATAAAGTATTTCTTAAAGTAAATACTGAATAATTCTTCAATAAGTTCTATAATATATATTGAATAGTTTGTGTATGTAAATAAAGTTTACATATGATATACAAATGTACCATACACACATATGTATGTAGATCATAAGGTAATCGATGAAATAAATCAATATGTTAATAAGTCTCATACATTAACCTAAAAATACATAAAAAAGTTTAGTAACAAATCCGTAAAGATTGAAAGAGCTCGCTTAATCCAAATCTAAGCGGAGCCTGTGCCTCAAGCGACACTGTCACCGAGGAGAAGTCGTCGCTCAAAATTATGTGGCAGTTACGGTAATGCCATTTGCTACTAGCAACTTGCGGCGACGGCGAGTTGTCATTGCGGCTTGTTTGGCTGGATCTGTGCGCCATAAACAGTGAGAAAAGCTACAGAAAAACACAACAACAACAACAAACTGCAAAGCAACCGGAGCTGGAGTCAACATTAATAATAGCAATGACGCGACGGCAGCAGCTGAAGCGATGCAACGACAGACGAACAGCAAAATAAATATAATAACAACAAAAACAACGTGGAAGAGATCTTAAATGAATGCGGAAGTTTTTCTAGAGTTTCGTAACCAGCCGCCGCGGCATATGGAGCTGCTACAATTGTAGCAACAGTGATTGCAGCAATATGCGGCAGTAACTACAACAGCAAAAGAAACAGCAACAATGACGGCCACTTAAAAGCGGTGGCAAGTGAACAAGAGGCATGCATATATTGAAACAAATCTAATGTGAGGCAGGCAGATAAACGCACAGCCAACAGATGCACCGTCTATAGGGGGAGTAGGGGGCAAGTGGCGCGCAATTAAGTCGTGAGACGAGTAGTTAGATGGTGCTATGTGAATATGGCTGTCAACGCTGGTCGATTTGGTGATGTGACAGCGACAACGCTGACATTAATAGCGACGTCGCCTGGTGATGGCGGGGGAGTATGATGGTTGGCGGTGAAGCATGAGAAATCAGCAACGGAATACAATGCAACAGGAATCGTTTCTTTACAACGTACCACATGCAAGCGAAATCACATATTAAAGTAAATATTAAAAAAAAAAAATTAGTATGTACTAAATATGTGCATATGTGTGCCGTTTTATTTTTTAATTAAAATCAGTTATATAAAAAAACTGAAATATTTTGTTAAAATAAAAAAAAAATATTGCAAAAAAATATTATTTGGCAGCGGTGGGATTCGAACCCACGCCTCCGAGGAGACTGGTGCCTTAAACCAGCGCCTTAGACCGCTCGGCCACGCTACCCACTTGGCCCCTCAAGCGCTAGCTGCCAACATAAAAGTACACATTGTTACACTGGCCACAACATAAACACACATACATACATGCACACGTACACATACATACTTATATATATATAGATATATACATACATATGAGCGCGTTATATTTAGAGGATAACGTGATGAGCGTGTGAATTATCCGTATAATTTGCGACAACATTCATTTTTAAGCGTCTCAACTTCACTTTTGACTAGCAACAGTCTGATGAACTTTCCAAACAAAGAAATCGAATGTATACCCGTGAGTGCGCTGTGATGCGCTGATGGATGCCTCTCGCTGTCTGGGTGGCTGCTTGCTGTCTCGAACTTCAAATATGCACCTGCCACGCTGAAGTGCCCGCTTCGTCGGTCATTTGATATTGGTGTGCCAATTAATAACTGCACATACATACATACATAAAGCATATAATGATTGCCACAGATTTTTGGCAGCCAAAGTTTGTGCCGCGTGCAACACAACGATTTTCTCACAATTCTTCGCTCGCAAAGGACACGCTCGCTGATGCGAAAGCTGCTGCAGAGTTTTTTGTTTAATCGGGTGTAAACGGTTTCTTAGCCATATCGTTCGGTCACTGGTTCGTTTGTTTGTTGTTGGCCAGCTGAAACAGGCGCTGAGGATGCGTAGGTGCTGAGTTGAAATTTTGGAAGCTGCAACAGGTGTTATTGTGCTTTGCTTTCTGCTGGCTCCCACCAGGATTCAATTTACCCTCACTAAATGCAAATTCACTGATTTTTGTGGATGGTGTGAAAATATGGACAGGTGCCCTACAGCGTTGGCGTTAAGCTTTTGTGGCATACGTCTTCTACTGATAATATAAAATTAAAAATAAATATTGAATATCGTGCTAATATTATGTAAGGATAAATATGCTAAAATTATAAAAGAGGTCTTATGCACTTCGGAGGAACTGGCATTTTGTCAATGAGCACTTTTCTACTGAAGAATGAGTTGTCGTAATTCTCGGTCAATATTGGAATACTGAAATATTGCAAAAAGCCTTTTGAGAAAATTTAACTAAAATTAAAGTTTCAATTCTACTACCAGTTCCGTCATAGTCTTATAGCGTTTATGGCATATGATTGAATCTTCTCTCCAACCGAATGTTGCAGTGGTTAAGACGACAAAATCTAGTTATCTCTTTGTTTCGTGCTCAGTCGAGTTATTCAAAGCGGACTTCGCGTAAAGCCAAAATTAACTTTCGTCGTTTTCAGTGGACTAAAATGGATGCTCCTCCGTTCCTTTTTTTCTGTCTTTATTCTTTGTTAATTTCAATGATTATAAAGTTTATTCTATAAAAACAGCTGTTACCACTGTAGCCATTTGGCCAAGTCCGATTTTGAGTAACAATTCCTTTGTTGGCTTCCCCCCTTTAAACCTACAAATTTAACGACTGTGTAAGGCCGATTTCGTCAGAACAGCACGTTTAATTGAAGGTATATTATTTTTTTTGAACTAAACCGATTTTGTTGAGCCGGTACAACAAAAAGAATTTGAACCTTGGCTACATAGTCAACATGCTAACCGTTCTATTTGACTATAAGTCTTTAATCTTCACTATCGATAGCGTCAAGCTGAAAATTAGTTTGGCTGCTCGGTCATAGCGGAATCGCTGAAAACTACAAGGCCGATGAGCTTTTCATGATTACATGGAGTAAGGCTGAAGTTGTATGGAGAAAGTTGAGGCGGAAACATTCAGGTACTTTCTTCTCGATTGTCCAGCTTTGGCAGGACTGCGGTTGAAACACCTCAATAGTCATATCTACGCCAAACTTGGTGAAATAGGCGGAATCGATATTGGGCGCCACAACAAATTTGCGGCACGCTCAATACATTTTGTTGATTTTTGAGGGTCTTTTCCATCAACACTTAGGAGTATTTAGTTATTACAATGGACCGGCATTACAGCTGTTCAAGTGGAATCCTATTTTTTGGTTCACCTTCTTGCCTTTAAACAATTTTTTCAATCATATCATGGGTTTCTTCGCAACTGAAATATGTATATGCTCGGCAAACCGGGGTTCAGGTAAAAAAATCTGTGAGGAAAAACAGGCATTATAATCACTTTTCGGTGACTTTCCGCATTTGCATAGTGTGTATCAAGGTTCACATTTTTCAAATACATTTGATAGCCTAAGACTGTTCAAAACTTTGAAATTCCGCAGATTTTCAAAAATAGAAGAAGGCTGATATTCTGCTTTCACCAATAATCCGAGTCATTACGACTCGTAATACTCAATATTAATACTCGATCTTGGACCATCAGTTGGTCGTTACACTCCTCTCTATAATCAATAAAATGTCTCTAAGCATCTCACAAGCTTAACAAACCCTCACTCCGGCGTATAGGGCGCCGAAATGGATATCGTTTTACAAGTACATGAGAAACACAGCATTCATTGACATTCATTCACACCACGTGTAAAACAGGCCACACAGCAACCTGGGAGCGAACGGTAAGCAAAAAAAAAAAAAACAAGATAAAACAAAAAGTCATAAAAAAAATATGAACAAAAATGAAAATATTTCACACGACATTTATCGCACTGACGACCATTTATGCCATTGTCCTGCAGCAATAATTCGAAACATATTTATTTTACATTATTTTATCTTTCGACGATTTTCTGCATAAACTAATAAATATCGAAAATCTCATTGGCGCCCACACGCTCACTCCTTAATACAACACACACACACACCGATGTAAGCAAATATTTTTCGATATTTATACGCTCATATGCGCAATCGCTCACTCGCTCCGCCAGGTTTTCATTAGAAAAATGGCAAACGACATAGATGTGAGGCGCCGTCCATGACAATCGGCAACACACGGTCAATGTGACAATATTGCCACACAGTGTGGCAACAATGGTGGCCGTAAAACTACTTTCACTTTTGTTAACGGCACACAAACAGCCCATTGGCGTGGGCAAAAAGGAGCGGTGCGGTTGATTATGGGTGCGCGGGAAAGTCCTGCTGCCACCGCCCCGTCGTGACGGATCGAAAATGTTGCATGCCGCTCACGTAGCGTAACGTGTTGTGCGCGCTGCCACAAAATTTGACACATCATAAATTCACTTGAAATTATGAACTTCATTTCTTTTTCATAAATTTGATTGTTTTTACACCTTTTTGAGTACACAAATACACACACACACACAGGCATACATGCAGATAGAGATAGAGACACACGCACATACCTACATACATACATACAAGTATATAAAAAATACATATTTTCTTTCTTTGACTATTGTCACTGTCATTGTTATTGCTGTTGTTGCGGCCACTTGAGTTGCATTGTATTGTTCGTGTTCACGATCATGTTTCGCGCGCACACACACACACACACTAATGTATATATGTATGTGTGTATGCCTCCTAACACACCTTCTGCCACTCTCCTTTATGCCACGTAGATGTTGTTGTTGCAATTAGTTTGCTTGTTGTTGTTGTGGCAACACTGCTGTTACTAATGAAGCGATAAAAAGCGGGTTTCAAGTGAAAATGTCAAGGTTTTAGCGCGCACCAACAATTTCCCGCCGACACATTCGCGCTTGTTCGGACGTGTCAGCGTCACAATTGCATTTGCCCAAATCGTTTGCCGCACGATTCGGTGCGCCTGACCTTGCCTCCTTAATGGCTGTCTTTGCCTTGG